GCATCTAAAATAGTTATAATGCAAAGATCACTACCAAATACAATCTTAGCGACTGTTCAAGCAAAAATCTAAACACCATTGTAAGCTTATGAGAACCCCAAAAAGTTATTTTGTTTAGAAGTAATAAAAATGAAAATCTAGGTTATGTTGAATGGGCGCAGATGGCGTTGGATATCTTGCTGCAGCCAAGAGTCACGTGCATCTGTACATGACATCAGTGTGTCGTTTACTAGAAAAGGGTCAATTACAGCATGTAGGTGGAGGGAACTATATTGATGATGGAGATTTGAGAATGTTCTTTGGTTGATAGACAGTTGTCTCTATTAGTCACAGAGATATCGTTACAGAGATATCGTAACAAAGATATCGTTACAGAGATATCGTTACAGAGATATATCATCGCAGAGATATCGTTACAGAGATAACGTTACAGAGATATCGTCACAGAGATATCGTCACAGAGATATCATTACAGAGATATTTTCATAGAGATATCGCTACAGAGATATCTTCGCAGAGATATCATCACATAGATATCGTTACATAGATATCGTTACAGAGATATTGTTGCAGAGATATCTTCACAGAGATATCATTACAGAGATATTTTCACTGAAATATCGCAACAGAGATATCTTCACAGAGATATCGTCACAGAGATATCGTTACAGAGATATTGTTACAGAGATATCGTTGCAGAGATATCTTCACAGAGATATCGTTACAGAGATATCTTCACAGAGATATCGTTACAGAGATATCTTCACAGCGGAAATGGAGGAAAACTAGACTCCTTGCGGACCTGGCATCTTTTCACTCCCTCCTCTCTACATTTTCTTCATCTGTTTCTGCTGCTAAAGCCACTTTCTACCACTCTAAATTCCAAGCATCTGCCTCTAACCCTAGGAAGCTCTTTGCCACCTTCTCCTCCCTGCTGAATCCTCCTCCCCCTCCCCCCACCTCCCTCTCTGTGGATGACTTCGTCAACCATTTTGAAAAGAAGGTTGACGACATCCAATCCTTGTTTGTTAAGTCAACTGACACTGCTGGTCCTGCTCACACTGCCCTACCCTATGCTTTGACTTCTTTCTCCCCTCTCTCTCCAGATGAAATCTTGCGACTTGTGACGGCCGGCCACCCAACAACCTGCCCGCTTGACCCTATCCCCTCCTCTCTTCTCCAGACCATCTCCGGTGACCTTCTCCCTTACCTCACCTCGCTCATCAACTCATCCTTGACTGCTGGCTATGTCCCTTCCGTCTTCAAGAGAGCGAGAGTTGCACCCCTTCTCAAAAAACCAACACTCGATCCCTCTGATGTCAACAACTACAGACCAGTATCCCTTCTTTCTTTTCTCTCCAAAACTCTTGAGCATGCCGTCTCTAGCCAATTCTCTTGCTATCTCTCTCAGAATGACCTTGATCCAAACCAGTCAGGCTTCAAGACTGGTCATTCAACTGAGACTGCTCTTCTCTGTGTCACGGAGGCTCTCCGCACTGCTAAAGCTAACTCTCTCTCCTCTGCTCTTGTCCTTCTAGACCTGTCTTCTGCCTTTGATACTGTGAACCATCAGATCCTCCTCTCCACCCTCTCCGAGCTGGGCATCTCCGGCGCGGCTCACTCTTGGATTGCGTCCTACCTGACCGGTCGCTCCTACCAAGTGGCGTGGCGAGAATCTGTCTCCGCCCCACGTGCTCTCACCACTGGTGTCCCCCAGGGCTCAGTTCTAGGCCCTCTCCTATTCTCGCTATACACCAAGTCACTTGGCTCTGTCATATCCTCACATGGCCTCTCCTATCATTGCTACGCAGACAACACACAACTAATCTTCTCCTTTCCCCCTTCTGATAACCAGGTGGCGAATCGCATCTCTGCATGTCTGGCAGACATATCAGTGTGGATGACGGATCACCACCTCAAGCTGAACCTCGGCAAGACGGAGCTGCTCTTCCTCCCGGGGAAGGACTACCCGTTCCATGATCTCGCCATCACGGTTGACAACTCCGTTGTGTCCTCCTCCCAGAGTGCGAAGAGCCTTGGCGTGACCCTGGACAACACCCTGTCGTTCTCCGCTAACATCAAGGTGGTGACCCGATCCTGTAGGTTCATGCTCTACAACATTCGGAGAGTACGACCCTGCCTTACACAGGAAGCGGCACAGGTCCTAATCCAGGCACTTGACATCTCCCGTCTGGATTACTGCAACTCGCTGTTGGCTGGGCTCCCTGCCTGTGCCATTAAACCCCTACAACTCATCCAGAATGCCGCAGCCCGTCTGGTGTTCAACCTTCCAAAGTTCTCTCACGTCACCCCGCTCCTCCGCACACTCCACTGGCTTCCAGTTAAAGCTCGCATCTGCTACAAGACCATGGTGCTTGCCTACGGAGCTGTGAGGGGAACGGCACCTCCGTACCGTCAGGCTCTGATCAGTCCCTACACCCAAACGAGGGCATTGCGTTCATCCACATCTGGCCTGCTGGCCCCCCTACTGCAGAAGCACAGGTCCTGCTCAGCCCAGTCAAAACTGTTCGCTGCTCTGGCACCCCAATGGTGGAACAAGCTCCCTCACGACGCTAGGACAGCGGAGTCACTCACCACCTTCCGGAGACACTTGAAACCCCACCTCTTTAAGGAATACCTGGGATAGGATAAAGTAATCCTTCTACCCCACCATACCCCACCCCCCCAAAAAAAAAATAAACATGTTGTAAAGTGGTTATCCCACTGGCTATAAGGTGAATGCACCAATTTGTAAGTCGCTCTGGATAAGAGCGTCTGCTAAATGACGTAAATGTAAATGTAATATATCGCTACAGAGATATCATTACAGAGATATCGTCACAGAGATATCGTTACAGAAATATAATTACAGAGATATCGTTGCAGAGATATCTTCACAGAGATATCGTTACAGAGATGGGCAAACTACATACTGTAGCAGCAGGACCTAGGAGCACAACAGGACTACCTGACAGAATTGATTGATTTGTGTTCTCGATCAAACATTAGTGTGGGTTGTTTTCCATTTTCTGTTTTTTTTTCCCCCAACGTGTGTCAGCACCATAGATGGTTCCACCATGGACAGAGCCGCCGTTCTGCCACTCAGCCATGATGGTGGACGCTATCGACCCAATGATGCCAAGAAAGGCCTCTCAGACCTACCAGATCATTGGTGATGAATTTGTCTATGCCAGCTTCAATACTTAATGGGTTTACTGTCCTCCCTGGGAGGAAGCCTCACCTTTACCACCTCAGCAGGGAGGCTTTTTCACCTTGACGAGTTCACCATTCAACTCAACCTGGCAGCCATGTAAAAATTCCTCCCTAATTCAGAGGTCCATATGGGTAAGTACAGTATGTAAAAGCCCCAAAGCATGACAGCTCATGGGAGGATGACAGGTCCCTTCCATTTCAATTCCAGAAAGTAAACCCAATTTCAATTCGGAATTTCAGTGTACTTCCTGAATTGACTGGAATTTAAATGGGATTGACCCCAACCCTGTACATTTGACATTTTAGTCATTTAGTAGACGCTCTTATCCAGAGCGACTTACAGTTAGTGAGCGCATACACTTTTTTTTTCTCATACTGTTCCCCCGTGGGAAACGAACCCACAACCCTGGCGTTGCAAACGCCATGCTCTACCAACTGAGCTACACGGGACCACTGCTACAATATGATGAAGAGCAACTGTAAGTTACTTGATTGCATTTCTAAACACATTATAGATGAATACATTAATTAATTGAACACTATGGAGATATCTAGATTAATAGCCTAATAGATTATGCAAAATGACTGGGTGAGTCATTTATAAATCAGCCCCGTGGAGAGTTCCACCCTGGACAACACACCTGCAGCTCTATCATAGAGCTTGTCTTCTTCTCCTCCTCCTCTTCTTCTTCTTCTTCTTCTTCTTCTTCTTCTTCTTCTTCTTCTTCTTCTTCTTCTGATTGAGGCCATTGTCTTATGTCAGGTAGAGCGATGATTCCGCGCTTTCTGAATCGTCGCGCTACCTGACATAAGACAATGGCCTCAATTATTGTCGAAGACAGTGAAGACAGTTTCACTGCTCAATACAACTCTTTAGGAGATGAGACAGTGTTCCTTTGTTTTGATCCTGACTCAAGAGTCCTTGGAGAGCTTTTAAATTCATCATCAACAGGCTATTATAACAGTTTCACTGTTTGAGTAAGAAACGTTTTGTTCTGAGGAGTATTTCTGTCTGTAATAAAGCCCTTTTGTGGGGAAAAACTCATTCTGATTGGCTGGGCCTGTCTCCCTAGTGGGTGGGCTCCTGCCCAGTCATGTGAAATCCATAGATTAGGGCCTAATGGATTTATTTTAATTTACTGACTTCCTTATATGAACTGTAACTCAGCAAAACTTTGAAATTGTTGCTTGTTGCGTTTATATTTTTGTTGAATATAGTTTCAGACAAATGGCTACTTTGTATTACAATAGACTAGCCCACACAAGAGGATCAGCAGTCAAAATGGGCTGTCAATCATAACAATTAGTGTTTCTTATGTCCCCATCTAATGAAACATTAAGTGGTTTGAAATGAAGTTTCTATTCATTTATTCCCATTGTAGGCTGTTGTATCAGAGATAGTGAGAGAGAGAGAGAGAGAGAGAGAGAGAGAGAGAGAGAGAGAGAGAGAGAGAGAGAGAGAGAGAGAGAGAAGATAGAGAGAGAGAGGGGGAGAGAGAGAGAGAGAGAGAGAGAGAGAGAGAGAGAGAAGAGAGAGAGAGAGAGAGGGAGAGAGAGAGAGAGAGAGAGAGAGAGAGAGAGAGAGAGAGAGAGAGAGAGAGAGAGAGAGAGAGAATTCTATATGGTACATCGGGATGCAGTTTGACCACATTTCTCTGGCATGCTCGGAATATGAAGCCTACTATTTTCAGCAAGGACACGTTGTTCGCGAGATTGCAATAAAAACCTTACACAGCTAAGGAAATTGCCTCATTACCTCGAGAGTGTTTATCGTTTTTTTTACCAGGATGACTGCGAATTGCACAAGCTACTACAGCGCAGAAAATGCTTTTGTGAATGGCTTTTCTTGCCCTAAAGCGGGAGGCGATGCGCACGCGGTATTCTGCTGCGGATTTAACGATATAAAGTATTGCTGTGATGATCCCAACAGTTTTTTCCCCTACGAGTATGCGTACATGTGGTGGCTTAGGTAAGGAGTTTATACGTATCTTTGATTTGATGTTATACCAATTCATCCGTTTTATTTTGCCAAATAGCTTTACCTTTATCTTGGGGAAATCTCATTCACTGCACACACAGCACAAATGCTACTAAGTAAAGATAATGCAGTGTTTGATCACTGGACTTTTTAGTTTGTATAATGTTTGATATTGTGATGACGCACACCTGTTATAGGTTACAGTAGGCCACTGTATATTGAGGGAATCTGATGCAAGGTGAACAGTACCTAAATTAAATGTGAAAATGAAAACAGAAAAAGTGTACATTTCCCCCCCACAATACTCAATACTGTATCCAGGGGCGGACTGGGACCAGAAATCGGCCCTGGTATTTCTAACATACCGGCCCATGTTTTTCCTCGAGGCCCCCATTAATAGCAAAAATAATGGCCCAAATGGACCAGCCCATCTGACATTTGCCCGAAATGCTGGATGGCCAGTCCGCCCCTGACTTTATCACCCCAAGAGAGTGCAACCTATTATCTGTCTTCCCCATCACATCTCTCTCTGCTCTCCCCTGCCTTTCCCTCTCTGTCTTCCACATCACCTCTCTCTCTACCATCCCCTGCCTTTCCCTCTCTGTCTTCCCCATCACCTCTCTCTCCTCTCTCCCCTGCGTTTCCCTCTCTGTCTTCCCCATCACATCTCTCTCTGCTCTCCCCTGCCTTTCCCTCTCTGTCTTCCCCATCACCTCTCTCTCTGCTCTCCCCTGCCTTTCCCTCTCTGTCTTCCCCATCACCTCTCTCTCTGCTCTCCCCTGCCTTTCCCTCTCTGTCTTCCCCATCACCTCTCTCTCTGCTCTCCCCTGCCTTTCCCTCTCTGTCTTCCCCATCACCTCTCTCTCTGCTCTCCCCTGCTTTTCCCTCCATGTCTTCCCCATCACCTCTCCGCTCTCCCCTGCCTTTCCCTCTCTGTCTTCCCCATCACCTCTCTCTCTCTGCTCTCCCTGGCCTTTCCCCTTTCTTTCTCTCGCTAATTTTTCACATTCTTCTCTCTCCCTCGCTCCCCCTCTCTTTCACCTTCTCTTGTCCATCGCTCCCCCTCTCTTTCACCTTCTCTGTCCATCGCTCTCTCCCGCACTTCCCCTAATCTCTTTCTCTCCTATCCCTATCTGTCTCTGCCTCTTTTTCTCCATCTCTCTCCTTCTCTCTCCTTCTCTCTCCTTCTCTCTACACTCTCTCTCCTTCTCTCTCCTTCTCTCCCCATCTCTCTCCTTCTCTCTCCTTCTCTCTCCTTCTCTCTCCATCTCCCTCCATCTCTCTCCTTCTCTCTCCTTCTCTCTCCATCTCTCTCCTTCTCTCTCCTTCTCTCTCCTCATCTCTCTCCTTCTCTCTCCATCTCTCTTCATCTCTCTCCTTCTCTCTCCATCTCTCTCCTCTCTCCTCCATCTCCCTCCTTCTCTCCTCTCTCTCCTCCGAGCTCTCTCGCTCGCTCCTTCTCTCAGCGCGAGCCCTTCCGCCGAGCGCCCGCAAGGCGATCGACCGCGCGCGCCTCCCCAAGGCGATCCTGCTCTCTCATCAGATGGAAGCTTAGGTCTCTCTCATCTCCTTCCGAGCTCGTCCCTTATCGCTCTCTGCTGCCTCGATTCTAGATCTTCTCTCCTTCTCTCTCCTTCCTGAATCTTGTTCCCTTTCTCTCTTCCTCGATTCTCTCGCTGCCAAAAGCGCTCCTTCGATTTTCTTCCCTGTCTCTCTCATCTCTATCTCTCTCCTCTTCCGCCTCTCTCCTTCTCTCTCCATCTCTCTCCTTCTCTCTCCTTCTCTCTCCTTCTCTCTCCATCTCTCTCCATCTCTCTCCATCCCCGTCCCTTTCCCCCTACACACCATCCTCTTTCTCTGCCCCCTGTTCCTCCATCTCTCAGTGTCGGGGCCCTGATAGGTCTGTCCATAGCAGCAGTGGTCCTCCTGGCTTTCCTCATCACAGTCTGTGTCCTCTGCTACCTCTTCATCGCCACCAAGCCCAGTCGCCTTGACAATGGCCTGCCACTCCGAGCACCAGGTGGGTAACATCTGGCCAGAGGTGGGCTAAGGTCTTGAAACATAATCTAAAGGTGTTGGATGGGAAACATACAGTGCCTTCGGAAAGTATTCAGACCCCTTAACTTTTTCCACATTTTGTTACGTTACAGCCTTATTCTAAAATGGATTAAATATTATTTTATCTCAGTAATCTACCCTCAATACCCCATAATGATAAAGCAAAAACGTTTTCTTTTTTTTCTTTTTGCAAATTTATTACAAATAAAAAACTGAAATACCTTATTTAATGACCCTTTGCTATGAGACTCGAAATGGAGCTCAGGTGCATCCTGTTTCCATTGATCATCCTTGAGATGGTTCTACAACTTGATTGGAGTCCACCTGTGGTAAATTCAATTGATTGGACATGATTTGGAAAGGCACACAGCTGTCTATATAAGGTCCCACAGTTGACATTGCATGTCAAATCAAATCAATTTTTATTTGTCACATGCACCGAATACAACAGGTGTAGACCTTACAGTGAAATGCTTACCTACAAGCCCTTAACCAACAATGCAGTTTTAAGAAAGAATACCTAAAAAAGAAATAAATAAAAGTAACAAATAATTAAAGAGCAGCAGTAAAATAACAGTAGCGAGGCTATATACAGGGGGTACCGGTACCGAGTCAATGTGCGGGGGCACCGGTTAGTCAAGGTAATTGAGGTAATATGTACATGTAGGTAGAGTTATTAAAGCAGGGACTGGGAGACTAGTCAGGATCGAGGCGAAGATGAACGGAGCAAAGTACAGAGAGATCCTTGATGAAAACTTGCTCCAGAGCGCTCAGGACCTCAGACTGGGGCGAAGGTTCACCTTCCAACAGGACAACGACCCTAAGCACACAGCCAAGACAACGCAGGAGTGGCTTCGGGACAAGTCTCTGAATGTCCTTGAGTGGCCCAGCTAGAGTCCGGACTTTAACCCAATCGAACATCTCTGGAAAGACCTGAAAATAGCTGTGCAGCAACGCTCCCCATCCAACCTGACAGAGCTTGAGAGGATCTGCAGAGAAGAATGGGAGAAACTCCCCAAATACAGGTGTGCCAAGCTTGTAGTGTCATACACAAGAAGACTCAATGCTGTAATCGCTGCCAAAGTTGCTTCAACAAAGTACTGAATAAAGGGTCTGAATACTTATGTAAATGTAATATTTCCGTTTTTTATTTTTAATAAATTAGCAACAATTTCTAAAACCCTGTTTTTACTTTGTCATTATGGGGTATATTGTGTAGATTGATGAGGGGGAAAAAAACAATTTAATCAATTTTAGAATAAGGCTGTAACTTAACAAAATGTGGAAAAAGTCAAGGGGGCTGAATACTTTCCGAAGGCACTGTAAATATGATATTGTATAGAAAATACACAAACCTTCATTTTAGGGCTATCGCGGATGCAAGTCAGTTGACCCTTATCACACCAGGCACCTTGATGAAAGCCCCCAACATAAAGAAATTAAAAGTGTATTTCTTCTGGAACCAAGTTACATGTTCCTCAGTACACAAACAACAATATAATGAGCCATACCGTGCGTTGCTGGGCCCAGTCAGGTCTTTGACACATTCGCCCTCTCCCCTGCTGAAAGATCAGCCACAAAAATGTTGGCACCATTGTAACAGGTTGTAATCAAGCCCTGGTCTCCAGCATGGGAAGAGGAAGAGGAATACTTGGTGGCTAGGTATTCTCAGGTAGGAATATTCAAAATCTTGGCTCTGACACACACACACAAACGCAAGCATTGCAGGTCCATCAACCCATCTAAATACCTCTCACACCCTACAGTAACCTGTGGATCATGGAAACCTTCATAAACCGGTGGATCGTTTGTTTATAAGCTGTTTATTGACACTTTATAGTGTCCTGTAATGATTCGTTTGAAGTGAGACACCTTCGGTCATTCATAACACATCCATAAAGACTCTATATTAGGGGTGTAACGATTCGTTTTAACAACGATTCGATTCGTATCACGATTCGTGGTTGTCGATACGATTCAAGGACGATATTGGTTCATTTAGAACGATACGATCCGAAACGATTCAGTGACTTGAAATCGATTCAGTAACCTTTTAGCCAAAAATTCAACCAGTGTGACTGAAATAAATACCTGGTAACCAGTTGCATTTTAATGGCTGGCAATAGTCTTGATATTTTTAACAGTGTTTCATGCCTCCATGCAGACCATCTGGTATTATGAAACTTACCCATACCTACGTTGACAGCAGCCCCGTCTGTGCAACTTTGTTGTCCAGTCATCCAAGCCTGTGTCCTGGAAAAGTCTCACAAGTCCGTCTGTTATGGCCTGTGCGGTTCGGTCAGCACCCAATTCAATCAGTCCAATAAAGTCCGAAGTAAACTCTCCGTTGCTGGACACAATGTAAACTATTTCCTGCTCAGTTTTTGTGATGTCCTCAGATCCATCAAAAAGCATTCAGTAAAGGAACATCCTCAGAATAGGAAGACATGGGACGTGCGTGTTTAGCTTTATGGAAAGAGAAAAATATTAAACAGAGCTTGCCGCTGTTCTTCATTCAGCTTGTCTCGCTATCTGGCAAGTGGGCGACTGGACATTTATTCTCGGCTAGCTTTTAGCAATGGCTTGCGCCACATTCGTGTGCTCCTTGCTCTTTTCATGTTGGTCAAATAAAGGATGGTTGAAATTCTTTGAGCCTTTATAAAATGCACCTGTTTTGTCTGCTAGATGTGGATTTGAGCGGCAAATCTTGCACCACATTCCAGTGCGCTCATCGTTAGCTTCAAGCCACTGCACATCTTGGAGCCACTTTTCCGAAAAAAGTATTTTCTTCGGCTCTGGCTCCAGTTGGCGTTTCTTTGTAGGTGGCGAAACGCCAAAAAGGCTGCTTACTGTCTGTTGCTTTTTGGACATCCCTGACAGTAGTTGACAAGCAACATGTCATGTGTAAGGTTAGATGAGAAGATCGGTCAAGTACGCAAAGGCGCGTAGTAATTTGTCGCGCTTGCGTATCTGCGTACCAGTTATGTGCACCCCTGCATATAAAGTCTGACGTGCTTAAATCCAATGGGTTATTTCCTAGTATCGATACAATCGATTTATTACATTTTAAAACGATGTTAGATCGATATATGTTGTCCAAAAGGCCAACTCGCCGCGCACAGATCGATGTAGTTGAATCATATGAATATAAATCGATACATCGATGTAGTCGATGAATCGTTACACCCCTACTCTATATAGTGTGACAGTGTACTTACTTTGAAGTCAGACACCTTTTTTTCATTCATAACACCCTACATAGACATGAGGCAAATGTAGTAACACTTAAGGAATTATCACTGTCAGCTAAAACAAATAAATGTTCAAGACAAGTTTAAACCAAACATTTCCTTTTATTTGTACATGTTAAATCCCTTCTCATTAATACTCCACCTTATCACCCTCCCTATCCCTAACACATGGGATGTCAAATTAAAACGTTATAACAATACAAATACATTAAGTTAAAAAAAAGTCCAGCAATGCAATTACACTGAACATTACACAGGGCTGTAAACAGGGTAGCTTGACCCTGAGCTGGCTGACAAACGGTTCTGGCCTCTCTTCCTGCTGGAGGCACTGCATGTTGGTTCCAACCTTCAAAGTAACAACAAAGAAAGTTAGCAGGCCTGTTAGGAAAAGCCTTTGTCACATCACCTGGATAAGGGCATTTCTGTGCTGCACTGATAGGACAGGTTGACTGCATTGTCAGTGGTGGAAAAGTACCCAATTGTCATACTTGAGTAAAAGTAAAGATACCTTAATAGGAAATTACACAAGTAACAGTGAAAGTCACCCAGTAAAATACTACTTGAGTAAAAGTCTAAAAGTATTTGGTTTTAAATATACTTAAGTATCAAAAGTAAATGTAATTGCAAAAATGTACTTTAGTATCAAAAGTAAAAGTATAAATCTTTTCAAATTCCTTATATTAAGCAAACCAGATGGCACAATTGTTTGTGTTTTTCTCATTTGCGGATAGCCAGGGGCGCACTCCAACCCTCAGACATAATTCAGAAACAAAGCATTTGTGTTTAGTGAGTCCGCCAGATCAGAAGCAGTAGAGATGACCAGGGATGTTCTCTTGATAAGTGCGTGAATTGGACCATTTCTGTCCTGCTAAGCATTCAAAATGTTATGAGTCCTTTTGGGTGTCAGGGAAAATGTATGGAGTAAAAAGTACATAATCTTCTTTAGGAATGTAGTGAAGTAAAAGTTGTCAGAAATATAAATAGTAAAGTCAAGTACAGATACCCCCAAAAACTACTTAAGTAGTACTTTAAAGTATTTTTACCTAAGTAGTTTACACCACTGTGCATTGTAGAAATGGACCTATTATATGTTATTATTTAGCCTGTATACTTACAGGTTGTATATAAGCGAGTCGAAAAATGTCTCCATCTATTCTATATGAAGAGGGAGGCAGGACAGCAGGCACCACCTTCAGGCCAAATGAGTCTACAGGGGAAAACATCAACTTATTGATGTGATCAGGAAAACGTATTGGATCAGGACATTATGTCAAATTCCTTTAGAACAAATAATGTGGCCTGGTATGTTTTTCAGGTTGTCTTACCATTAGAAGCGTTTAAGCATCCTCTGCCAGGCCACTTGCCCTCTTCTCCTCCTATGGAAGAGAAAAACTCACGTCTGATGCCACTCCGTCACAGGTCACCCCTGAGGAAACACTAAAGATACATATTTTTTAACAATCTCCAAGAGTGAAGAGATGGCTGCTCAAAAATAAACTTAAACCATTACATTAAACGTCTTAAATGACAGGTCTCTGTCTGAACTAACCTGTCAGCAATGTCAGCAATCAGTTCAGCAGTCTGGGGATGAAGTTGTTGAGGAACGGAATGAGGTAGAGGAGGACATCTCAAGCACTTGGGTTTGTGGGGACAGCTCGGTGCTCAGTGCCTTCCTTGGCTATCTTCCTAGAGAGCTTATTAAACAGAGAT